AAGATTTTCACTAAGTACTGCCAAATTCATTAATTTCAATTTATGAGGAGGAATGGATATTTTTAACATACAGTGATATTCCTCCTTCCTTTCTATTGCTTCTCTTATTCCTTTAAATGTTATAATTAATATATCAAGTACATTTTAAAGATTCCACAAATATTTTATGCAATATACCATGGTGCAAATAATTAAATGTGAATTCCCTCTGAGCACTTAAAAGTACATGTAAACAAGTCACAGTAATTTAAAGCCACACCATTCACTCAAGTTTGCCTTAGAACAGAAAAATGATTGATTTCAGCATAACTGGAAATGCTGTTTAGAAATAATTAATTACAATGTAATTCTCAGTATCTTTCAAATTCTGACAGCACTTGAACCTTAAGTTTATAAGATATGAAATTAGCTGAATTTTCATTAATTATTAGTCGTTCCACAATTTAAAACATTAAACTCATATTATGACAAACAGTGCATTTACTTTTAAGCAATTGCTACAATCAATTAGGCTCAGTGTATCATTAAGACAAGGGTTCAAGTGAGCTAAAATTTTCACTAGCCTATTTAAGCAATACCATTTTTAGGTGAATATTACTGATACGATTCTATACAAAATGTAGGATATTCAGTGACCATGCAAGAAGCTCATAGATGTTCTGTCACATCTGAACCCAGAATCTAATTACTGTAAGTTGTCTGGATATGAAGCCACATAATGGATGCTTTTAAGTCACTAATCACTGCGTTGTGGTTTGGGTGCTACAGAATACAAGTTTTATTTATTTTTAATATTTTAATCAATATTTTAATTGCTTTTAAAATAATACAAAAAAAAAGAAAAAAACGCAAAGTTAATTGTAATGCAGATACATACATTCTAAAAAAAAACAATATTTTAATCAACAACAACAACAATACTCCTTTCTTTTGTTAATGCCATCCAATCAGTGTTGACTCCTGGCAACTGCCTGGACTAGTTCCTGAAGTTTTCTTGGCAAGATTTTCAGAAGTGGCTTGCCAGTCCCTTCTTCCTAGGACAGAGAGAGAATGACTGGTCCAAGGTCACCAAGCTTGCTTTGTGCCTAAGGCAGGACTTGAATTCATAGTCTCCCAATTTCTAGCCTGGTGTCTTACTCATTACACAAAACTGTCTATGTTCCTGTTATAATCCACTTTTCCAATTACTGCATAACTCATTCCCAATTTATAAAAAAAAAAAAAAATGAAAGAGTTCCTAATTTGTTTCACAAGTAATGCAAAAAAGGAACTGAAACAGCTTAATGTGGGACACTGATTCTTAAACACATGATTTGTTCATCTAGTTGTAGTCACATAGTCATTGAAAATATATTGAATAAAGTGTATAGTCAAATACAAGTTCTCTCTCCCAACTCTTTATTTACATGCATTTACACCTTTTAAAGGCTTGACACTTTAAATTAATGGATTAGTCCATTAATTGATTAACTGACAGAAGCCAAATTTTACTCAACTCAAACTAAACCCAGATACACTTTTTGAAGGTTTTGCATTCCATAAAGGATGAAAACAAAATAAACCTTTCTTTTTAGTTTATTGTATTATATACTGCCTTATCCCTCAGTGTCTCAGAAAGACACCTACATGCAGATGTTTCCAAGTCTGATAACTGTTCATTTTTCAATCAAAAGCAAGATAACCAAGTACCAAATTAAACTGACAAACATATTTGGAATCTTTTAATCATATTTCAGTTACCTAATCCACTAAAGGCTGCGCTTTCTCTCCAGCATATTACTGTATCTGGAGGAATCAAATTTTTAATTCCCATTTCATAAAAGATCTCTACATATAACACTAGCACTATCCATAATAGACTGTATCATACTTCTTTACCTGATGTGTTATTTTTCTACGTATAGAGAGAATTTAAGGCAGGGTTTATATATATCATCTTTTAAATTTACATTCAAATGGTACAATCCAAAAGTATGCCACTTCATATAATTTAGTCCTAGTTTCAGCACAAAGGTTTCTGTTTTTATTGCTTCCTCTTACACAAACTTTCTCCAAATAACAAAGTGGACTGCAGAGAGAGAGATTTCATTCCAGCCTGCTCCTGCAGTGCTACATCTCTCATTAGAGAACTTTTTTCATAATTTGTATGAGTGAGTTCACATGCAGCATTGGAACGAAGATAATTTTGGTTGGTTGGTTTTGGCTTTGCATGTTTGATCAGCTCTGGTAGTATAGTTTGCAAATACAGTTAAGCTCAATGCACGATCCCAGACTTGAACAGGTACAAGAAATCTAATTCAATGCAACACTATTTACAATGAATCAAAAACATTTCTGTTTAATAAAATAAGATATTCCCACCTTCCTACTTAAACTAGATTTCAGGATGGATTTGTAATGGTCTCTTTCATTTATGTACCAACAACATGGCATGATGGAGAGCTTAAGACTGCAGATCAGCCAAAATTTTCAAGGAGACGTGATACAATTTGTTTCTGAGATTTGAAGCCAACAACCAATTCAAGATCTGATTTGATTAAAAAAAAGTTGATTGTAAGTTATAATGGGAAAGCATCAGAATGCCTGCAGTCGGTCCATCTTAGGATGGCAAAAAGAGGGATGAATATTCTCTAGGGATCCTTATCTTGCAAAGTTTCAGACAGATGGCTTTAAGGACTGAACATATTACTCTAATAACTCTTTTAAGGCAGAGATAAGGAAACATCAGTACAACATAGTTTAAATTATCCAACAAACAGCCTTAAAAGAAGATCACTAAAGAGTGTCTTACTCCAATTAAAAAATAACATTTTTCAAAAGCTTTTTTAAAAATTAAGTTTTTAAATTGAAAATCAGACACTTTACCACCTGTTGGCAGAAAGTTAGGCTCTTCTGGGAATGACAAATTATTTCTGAAAATGTGTGCATCTTAATACTACACATCCAGGAAGGGAACTCAACAGTTCAACTCCAAGCTATGCACGTATACACTCACACATATTCTACTATTGGAACTATAGGATCTAGCATGTTGTCAACATGGGATAATTCTTGTTTTGTGTGCAACAGTTCACATAATTCCTCAATTCAAGCTTATGCAACTAAAGAAAGAGGCAGCACACCTTTAAATTATTTTGGTTCCATGTCATAGTATAATCTAGTTCCTAAAGATAGACAGAATGCCATGGTTACAAAACAGTGGCCCAATTCACACATAACTTTAAGCCAAGCCCAAAGATTTTTTTGTTAATGTGATGTGCCTTGCCTTGTAGGAAGCAGGCATCAGCTGTAAAAACCATGTCCATATGAAAACCCAGAACACATTTTTCATAACCAGCATACATACAAATGAGCAGACATTTCAAAATTTCCATCTAAGAAATGTAATGACCCTTCAGAAACCATTATGTGCAAGCCTCACTGAAACAAACAAACAAACAAACAAAACCGCAATAAATTTAATCACATCTGGTACATTGTTTAATTTCCATTTGCTTGATCATAATGTGAAGAAGAACTGAGAGTGCCCTTTAGTGACAGAACCAAGTGAGCGTATGTCACTAGGTACTGTGTTTCTGTCTTCCATACGGGTTAAATCTCAGAATTCATTA